TGTTGATGAGGTTCTGTTGATGAGGTTCTCTCAGTGTTGATGAGGTTCTGTTGATGAGGTTCTGTAGATGAGGTTCTCTCAGTGTGTTGATGAGGTTCTGTAGATGTTTGCTGATGTTCGTCTAGGTTCCTTTCCTGCAGTTCCTTAGTTTTTTTCTTTCTTTTTTTTCAAATTAATTGAATCCTCTTTTTTTCATTTACGTTGGCTCTGAACCACAGTTTTACAGTTTACAGTCATTTATCCTGTTTACTCCGGGGGTGTGAGAGTGTGCACGTGAGTGTGCATGTGAGATTGCGCTGGAGTGTGACTGCAGCTCTGGATTATTCAACCTCTGTGGTTTCAGGTCCACAGACTCAGTGGAGTGGAACCAAAAAAAGAAAAGATCCCTGACAGCAGCATTTACACTGTGTGTGTGTGTGTGTGTGTGAGAGAGAGAGAGAGAGAGAGAGGTAGAGGAATTGAACAGCAGGATTCCTTCCACAGTTGGGTCCAGATCAGAAAGACGTCTTCTCTTCAGGTTGTATATCAAAGATTGGAATGGAAACGATGAGATTCTGTGGAGCGGCTGTCTTACTCCTTCAGTGACTAGAGATTAAGCTCTAATTTCATTAGTCTTCCTTCTGTTCAAACACAGGCAGGATGTGGATCCAGGAGTCAGACTGTGGTTGTGATGTTTGTAGACAGATTTCAACACATGAATAAAAGATGTGACAGAGAGGAGGTGTCATTACTCAGGATTCAGCTGAAGGCTGGGATTCAGATGAAATCACACTTGTTCTCTGAAGTAGGGAGAGAATAAACGAGGCCGAGACGAAATTATTGGACAATCTTCACATCAGTGTTTAGCCTTGGACAGATTAACATCCACTCAAATTTAAAAGGACCCGGAAAAGCTGGAGTTTTACTCAGATTGAATCTGGATGTGTAGAGCAGGGACATTGATTTTTTTTTTTCAGGTTAAATGATCAGAGAGACAGAGACGACTGATCGAAGGGGGAATCTTTGAGTTTCTTCACAAATGAGAAGAATCACGTCCTGTTCCTGAGGATGAGTCGGACATTAAACCACAAGAACTACAAACTGAATCCAATAATAAAATCAAACGCCTTTTATATTCTAATGCTGTGAGAGGATCTGTTTCTAAGCCTGAACATTTTCACGCTGCTGTGACGACCAGAGGAGTTTAATCCCCTCCTCCAAAGTTCTCATCTAAAACAGCAGTGTCTGAGGGGATCATTTTTGTAATCCTCTTCAATCTGACTTTTTAATCCAAGGGGACACGTCAATGCCTTATTGACATGTGCAGGGCAATCAGCGGGTGTCAGAAGCCAATACATGTTAAAACACATGTAATGAGGAAAATGAACGGTACTGTTTGCATGTTGTAGTTTTCCAATCTTTGACCGTTTGTTTTTAGTTTGTTACTGTTTGGCTGAATTCGAGGTATTATTGGACCTTTGTGTTTCTGGTTAATGTTTAGTGACTTTCCCATGACTTATCTATTAGCTACTTTAGCTGTCAGTTCAACTCCCTTTAACCAGTGAATCTCAGGGCCCCTTAGCTTTCTGTCTTTTTCCTTACCTGCTGTGTCCCTCTACAGTCTTCGTCTGGAAATCCAGTCTGTAATTCCTCGACATGCTATGCTGGTCTGACCAGTGACTGAAACTGTTTTAAGATTGTTGAATCTTTTCATTTTGTCTCTCTATTCTGAGCAAGGAAAGATGTAACATATGTAACAGTAGAATTAACCGTTGGTCGTTCAGAGGTACAAACGTAATCTATCACTTAGATCCCCATCAGTTCAGAGTCAACTTGTTTTCACAGACGGAGCGTCGCAAGAGAGGCTTTGAGTTGTCCTGCTGCGGCCTGACGTGTTTGAAGAGGGGCTTGGTGCAGATCAGATGGACCAGACACAAAAGTTCTGTTCTCAGATGTGTGGGTCTGTGTGTGTGTGTGTGTGTTGGTGTGTGTGTCCACGTGTGAACCTGTGTGTTTGTTCACTCTGTGTCAGTGAAAACAGCAGTAAAACACAGTTTCTCCATGTTTCCTGTCACGGCATAAGCCTTTAATTCCTGTTCTTCAGCTGAGAGAAGCTGAAGATCCCAAAGTCCCTGAACTACACACCGCCTCTCTCTCCCTCTCCCTCTCTCTCTCTCTGTCGTGTGTGTGTGGAGTCAGACGTGACTGTCATTTAACAACAGAGATATGACAGCAGCAACAGCCATGCTGCTCTGAGCAGAAAGACAATCAAACACACACCCACCCACACGCACACACACACACACACACACTTGTCTCTTGAGATTTTTCTTAGGGAGTTTCTGTGA